TTTTTTTTTTTTTTTTTTTTTTTTTTTTTTTTTTTTTTTTTTTTAAAGAAATAAAAATTAAGTGGTGGGTGTAGTAAACTGTTTCCTCCATCACCACAAATTACTCAATGCTTCTCCACCTCCATCCTCAAAATGGTTGAATAAAGCAGGAATCTTTATTCCTCCTCCCACGAGTCTGCTCTGAGGCTTCCAGCAAGGCTCAGGGACACAAGAGTGAACTAGACTGAAGAAAGAACACCTTGGAAGGTTGAGAAAACCAAAACTGGGAACTGGCTGGTGGGAACAAAGGTTAGGCTGGAATGAAAAATACAATTAGGCAGGCAACCAACAGATGGGAAAATGGGAGAAAAACTAATGAAATAGCACTACCTTTCCAGCCAGCCTGTGACAGTTCATAGATCATTAATCTAGAATCTAAAAAAATCTAGAAAACTTAATGGAAAAGGGAGACTAAAAAGTGCCTGCCTCCATACTCAGAAAACTTTTAAAATTTAAGCCATAAGTTATAATAAAATAGTGATTAGGGATAAAAATTGGCTAGGTGCTTCTGTGGAAATTCCATACTTAAATTATCCATACTCAGGTTTTCAACTGTAACTGTAGCTCTGGTTTATTCCTCTAGGATACAGCATCTGCTGGCATAGAACCAGTCAGCAGGAAAGAGCAAGCACTTAATGTTTTAGTGGTAAGACAAAATTGAAGGATCCCAGCTGGTGCTCCACTACTGCAGTTCAAGGCAGACCCCAAGGAAATCCTCACTAATTTCCCTGGGGTATTAGTTTCAGCACAGGAGAGTTCTGTGGTCGGATGTTTTACCCAACTCTCCTGAAGATTTTCATCGAATCAAGCTCAAGAGGAGGCCTTTCTCTTACCTCCTGAATTAGAGCATTATGTCGCAACACTTTCCGTGCTTTCATGATACGGACTATAGCAGCTTGGAGATACATTTTTCTGTCTTCATCTACAGCACTTCTGGTCTGCTCCATCTCCTGTGATACAGCAAGAACATTAATGTTTAAAATATAGTAAGACAAATAAACACTTCATAAAGAGATCTAGGACCTATACTTTTTGCTTTACTAAAAGTGGTCAAGTAATAAAAAAATGGAGGTGAAGTTCATTTCCAGGCAAAGTACTTCCATAAATCAAGAATACCAGATTTCTTTAAAGTCAGTAGGAAGGTAGGACATCCAAACCACCAATTCTGCTAGGGAGAAAGGCAGGCAGATTTTACTATAATGTACTGAGTTTGGCAGGACATACATATATATCTTGCACAAAATCCTGTGTCTTAGGAGATAGAGGAAACATGGATTATCAACACAGGAGTTAATTTTAGTTGCCAAAAGACAAAATCAGAGGAAAAAATTTGATTGGTTCTGCTGTTCCTGGAATAAGCTGCTTTTGTAAACACCACCAATAAAAAAGTCTCAAGAGATAAGACAAGCTAAATGTCAATCTCTTTTGGTACATTTTGTTTATCTTTCCCTTCTGCCTTCTTGTTCCCTATTTTATCTTCTCCTGCCTATATTTTAAGTACAAAAAAAATTGCAGTGCTTAAGCTTTAAACTTACAAAATTTCTTTATGGCTATGTAAATCTTACTTGGTGAATCTTACACCAGACTAACACAATACATTCCATTTTAGAAAAATAAATTCCTAAGCTGTTCAAGCTAGAAACACCAAAGAATACTTGCCTGTGGTGTGTCTTTCTGCATTGATGTTGTAATTTTAAATTTTGTTCGTTTACTGCTGAAGTTCATATTTAATGAAAATGTAGACTCTGCCTCTATGTCTTCCTGCAATAAAGAATCCTTTTTAAAAATCAGAAAGGGAACCAGAAAATGGTAGCAATTTACTTTAAAAAGTCACAGTTAGGGTATTACATACATACAATTTCAGATTTGTAGTTGGAAATTCTAAAATGCCACTTGAACCAGGTCAGTTTTTTAAACTGCAGTTTAACTAACCTAGAAATCAAGGCTATTTCAGGAAACACTGTGAAGAATTCTATCACATAATTTTGTTAATGAGTCTATATGATTAAAGCAATTTCTCTTTTAATATTTCAACACCTTATTTAGTTGCAAACACTCTCCATTTAAACTCATTTTCTTCCTGCAGAGAAAGTAGGATTTGCATTTATTTGTGGTAGAACCTCGAGAGGGAGCTGCTGTTTTTACAATTATTACTAATGTTGCCTCCCAGAATTTAAGGAAAAACATCTAAGCATTTTTAAAATATTTTTTAAGTTATAGCAGAAACAGCTGAAAAACTGCAACATCTATCTGTGTTTCTAATTTTTTCCTGTCAGAATCCCAACTTGTTTCCACAAATAAAAGTCCCTTTCTTTCAATAAATGGTAACTACTCCCTGCAATCAAGACATCTTTACTTTCAACTAACAGGATAACTGGACTGATCTTTGCAGTTTCCAGGCAAGAGCCTGTAGAAGTATTAGCAATTTCCAGTAGAATAAAGTTACTGGGCTTCTGAGACCTTAGAATGTTGCCCAACTGTCTGAAGTGCAAATATTTCAGTTAATGTAGTCAATATTTAACTAAATAGGCACTCAAAACAGTATTAATTCTAATTTTATATTCTGCAACAAATATTCTTTGTTACAATAAAAATAAACCCAGGGCACCAGGCATAGTATAGAAATTTTAACATGAAAGGGGAAAGACCAACAGCTTTAAAAAAATAAGCTAACAAAAAAATAAGCTTATTTTAGCATTATTCTGCCTACACAGTTGAATATAAACCAAAATATATTGTGTACTGAGCACGAAATTAAAAAGCATGATTCTAATGAACCAGTAAAGATTTTGCCAAAAGCTGCTTGTGTTCTTCACCTCTCCCCTCCCTGCTCCTCTCCCTGATCCTGCTGGTGGTGGAGTGAGCAAGTGGCTGCTGGGACTTGGGTCCCATCTGGGGTGAAACCACAACACTCAGATACAGGTTAAGAGAAGTTTGCATATTGAATTCCACTGCTTAAGCCACTGAAGTTCATTTGTTTATTTAATAAGTAATCTGATAGACTGTCTACAGATCTGCTATCACATTGCTGGATGGAGTGCAAAGAAAACAGAAATAGCAACAATGGTTGAATACAATAGTCTGGAAAGCAAAGAACTCGAAAATGCAGTGGTAAACACTGAAAGGTGAAAGGGTTGGAAAGCTGTATCATTCCCTCTTCAGTAACATATCCTTAAAGGAATTGGGCTAACCTTATATAACAGACATAAATAAAGGTAAATCCTTTAAATAATGGGAAACTTCCTAAGATTATGAAAAGTTTCACTGTTTTCTGTAATAGCTCCCGGTGTTTTATTTGACTCATGGTTTAACAGACATCTTCCTAGCTATTGTTCCAATTTGAGCTCATTCCTAGATATTGGAAGCATGTCCTATGCTGCAGCCAAGCATCAGATCTTCCTTGTAATCTCACTTTCCATTTCTAAAAATTTTCCTGCCACCAGAGCAGCTTTAGAATTCTTCTCAAAAGTGAATCGAACAACTTATCCCTGTACCTTCTGTCTGATACTGTCTGAATAGCGGGCTTTTCTGGGCTAGCTGGAATCACATGCTAATGTCTGTGCAGGATGAACAGGCACTTCTGTCATGTTTGTTACTTAACAGACCTCTGTGCCTTCGCTGAATGGGAGAAAAAGTAACTGCTTCTTTCAGCAGTTCAGAAGGACGAGACAGTCAGAAACAGAATCTGTATCAACCATTCCCTAATCACAAACAAAGCTCAGATATTACTGGAATTCCATGAAACTCCTGGAATGATAGGTTTGGCAAATTGGACCAAAAATCCTCTCAAACAAACCCTCCTTGCTCTCTTTCCATCTCCTGTCATCTGTCAGCAAGGAAGAACCTTGCTGCTGCTGCTTTCAGTCTCTTAATCCCACAAATATTTTTTTAGGATGGCTGTAAGATTCTGGCTTACAACTCAGGCTCCTTCTCGTGATTCAATACAACTTCAAAAGTGGTGTACCCCCCTCCAACACCAGTGAGTCTAAAGCCGCATGGATAAAATGCAACAGAAGCAATAAACAGTCCCAGCTGTATTTTTTTTTTTTTCAGTAGATCATGCTGCTATAGGCATGGAAAGGCTATGTGGCAGACATATACCTCTTTCCTTAAAAATACGAATTTATAATTGTTCACAAGGGTCAATAATACAGTTTTGAGAGTAAACAATGGATTATTTTATATTAAAAAAAGCCCTCAATAAATATCAGAATGACAAGACTGAAAATATGAAACTTTTTTATATCATTACAGCATACCTTGTCTGAGTCATGGTTTATCATTTT